TTAATAGACTTACCCAGTATTTAAGGACGACCTGTTTCTTGCAAAGTCATCGGGACTTTGAGGGAGGTTCTAACTTTGTTTAATTAATTAATTAATTTACTAAAAAAAAAAAAGAAAAAGAAAAAAAGTTTTGTTTTTTTTCCCCTGCAAGTGAATTTTCAGCGCAAGGTCATTTTGTGTTCACAGACTATTCGGTTTTTAAAAAAGCTGTTCTTTATCTCACATTATGAACAGCCTTGTAATTCCTATCCACACTAAAAGTTGGCTTTTAAATGTTATTGTTTTAACTTTAATATTTCATAGTTAATACAGAGAATAAAGTAATTTAAAGAAAATATATTGAAAGTATATTAATTGATAGGTTTTCATTTATATATTTTGGTCCACTGTTCACTGTTCTCGAGTCTCAGTCTGGAGTTCAAACTGTTTTTCTTACGATACGTCGTGAGTTTATATCCACAACTGCATTTTGCTTTGTGGTAACAAATTGAAAGCCTGGCATTGTAATACGTGTATGGACATGCTTATAACAAAGCATGGTCCCTCTCCTCATGTAGTTGGTCATTAACAGACACTTTGATGCAATGTGTCTACCAACGCTTTTCTGTGGTCATTGATCACAAAAGCATACCCTATCTCTCAGTCATGATGCAGAGTTTATGCTTGCAAGGATATCCAGACCTTATCCACCTGATATCCGCATAAATACTCCTATCGTTTACAGGGGTTAATTACATAATAACCATTGAAGGTAATATGTTGGTTGTTCTTCCTATAGAGGAAAGATGGACCTGCCCTAAAAGCTTTTTCATGGCTAGGACAAGCTCTTATAGAGAGAGGTAATGTACTTCTGACTCCTGAAAAGGAATATTGGTGGTCACAATATGGGAAATACTGTAATTCATGTGTTTAGTAATCATAAGCATTTGCTTATTGCCACATTACTGATGTACTGTTTATTGAAATATTAATATCTAACGTAATTTTTGAATTACTATATATTGGAAGTGTGCCAACATCTCATGGTTATAAATATGTTTTTGTATGTGTTGATGCGTTTACTTGGATATATCCTGTGCGAAGTGCAACCTCTGATGCCACGTTTTCTAGTCTCACTTCCTTAGTATGCATTTGATAATCCCAGGACCATCCATTTGGATGGTGGTCCTGCAGTTACTGCAAAGAAAACCTAAAACTGGGCAACCACATTTGGGTTACTTTGGGATTTCAGTGCCCCAACCACCCCCAAAGAAGTGGGGTTGTGGTCTGGGAAAATGCTGAGGTTAAATGATTATTAACCAAGTTACTAGTTGCTTGCCCCACACAGTGGTATCTATTTATTCCTATGGTACAGATGAGCATTCACAACATACCTGATGATACAAATGGTGAGACACTATATGAAATGTTACATGTTTTTTCACTGACAATTATATTTCTGCACCAGGGAGAGCTTAGAACCATTGGTTCTATTAGAGAAATTTAGGGATTTTTTTTTTCCAGCCCACCTCGCCTTGCACGTTTTCTTACTGTTGGCCAATTTGTCCTGGAGAGGGTGACTCTGAGAACTTTTACTACAGAGAACAATCAGAGCCAACAGAGAACAGTAAGTTTTGATATTTTACAACTTGCTAAATACTAACAGGACGTTCACAGAACCACTGACTGATACAATGGATGCTGTTAAAGATGACAAGATAAAAAAAACAGATGACGACAGAAATGCCACCAAAACACAGCCACCAGAATCATAGCCACGTAACAGACTGAATCATGATCTGACATCTGAACCTGCAAATGTGAAGGAGAAGGATGAACAGACAGAGGTGATACATTCACAGTTAACATGGAATGTATGAAAATGAATCATCAACATCATTATAAGAAAGACTCTGGAGAAAACAGACTGAACCTGAATTATCTTATACAGTAAGAAAGAAATGCAAAGATGGAAGCAAAAGCATGCTAGAAAATTGGTTATGGTGTCTCCTTCTTACAATCTGCAGCATTATCATAACATCAACCCTAGCTGTCATTTTAAAGCTGCATTGGGATTATGTTAACAAGCAGGAAGCACCTGAACTGAATCGAACTGCACACTATACAAGTTCTGTGATCGTGAGGACTACCTCCAAGAACCATCTCAAAAGGAGAGACACAGCTCACAGTGAAATGATTGCTGATGTGGCCTACACTGGTATTTCACAAGGAACCTATTGAGATCATTCCAAAAAACGATTATACATGAGAAAGATGTGATTGGACTATTACAAATCCTTATAATGGACTCAACGATGATGGCAAAGCATGCTGAAAACAGGAAAAGACGGGACAGATGCTTGTGAAAAACTTTGGATGCACCTATGAAGGTGATGCAAGAAAAGACTTTGCCATATAGTTTATCATTGAATGACTAGCGCAAACAGCCTTCTTATGCTGAAAAGAAGTGCTATGCTAATTTTGGACATTGCTATTATGTTTCCAGACAGAAGATGACCAGAAAAAGAAATAAGGGCTGATAACTGTCAACACCCTGCTATTTCTTAAGATGGAACATGGTACTGAGAAAACTTGATTAACTATCAAAGCAACTCACAGTACAAGACACAGATTGTTGCCTACAACTCATAAAAAGTGGTTAATAGGAAGGAGCAGTAGAAAAGGAATATAGATTTCCTACTGGAATGAAAAACAATCCTGGAACAATATTCTGTAACAATGAACTTTACAATGACATTTGGTGGCATATGAATTTGAATTCGGAAGAAACACATCAATTAACGAAAGAAACCTTGATGCAATTAATAAATAATAACAATACCGGCCTACTAAGAGCAGATGCCCTGCCAATGGAATATAAAAGGCCGGCAAAATCTTTCAGAAACCTGACATCACGGGACACTTGTACTAAAGCACGATTTGCAGCTTTTGTTAAACTCTACATATTATGTTCATACTTGCAAAGCAAGGAACTCCTGTAAACATAAACACAGAGACATTGATACAACAAGGAATCTGTAATGGTTCTGTTGCAGATGTGATCTACCGATGTACTCCTTGCTCTTTTGGTATAACTATACCAATGAAAACGTTAATTTGCTCCATAGAATCAAACGACAAAGCATTCTTGCTATATTCTGGACTTCCAGGAATGTGGTGCATGGACCGAAAATTATAATTACTAAAGCAATCATGCTATTTTTTTCCCTGTATCAGAAATGTGTCAGTGACAATGTGTAATATAATACAGATACTATAATTAATGGTATAAGAAACATATAATCTGTTAATTACAAAGGTGGATAGACTTGTGAATATCTGAAACGCAATTGAAGATTATTGCTAAAATGCCATATGCAGCTGCAGTCTGGACTACAAACAAATATATTAAACATACGTAGAAGAGTATAACAGCTAATTACCCAGATGAATAATTGAATCATGATAGTTAAAAATCATATGATTGCAATAACAACTGCAATAATGCATGTTTTAAACTTTAGAAGAAAATATAAAATGTTTTTATTAAATCAGAAACTATTCTATATTCGTTTAAGTTTGCAGAGTGGTATAATTAGTATAAGTGAAGTACTTCAACAGTTAAAATTTAACTGAAAGACAGGCAGAAACTTTTCTTCAACTATCATAAAGTTTATTTATAATGATAAAACATATTCAGTCTGCCAGAGCTAAGGCCAGTTAATGGAAAGTAAAAGAGTATTATGGATTAACCCGTCCAGGTGATATACATGATGATTTTGGAAATTGATCATTTAGGTCAACTATTGCAAACTGGTGAAAAGATGTCAAAGATATAAATTCAACATCCATACCACTCTATGTATGTATATATATATATATTAAAATACACGTAATCAAATATTTTATCAGTTTTTCAAATACCAAGAAAATGTTTTTTGGTTTGTGATGATTAAAGGTACATATACCTTGTGGTAATGATCCTGCCACATCTATTGATTGTTGAATCAATACATCATGCATATGATTATTAATTCATATTCTGATTGTAACATACCCCCACTTCAACCAGTTATAGTTACAGCAGATTCTGATATCTATTGTTATGAAAGTGTTAAAACCACTTATACAAAGGTAGAGTTAAAATCTAAATACCTTCAATATTGTATCTGAGTGCTTTCTTAACTCACTTTTAGAAATAATAAATATTCAAATCATCTTAAATTACACCCAACAGCCACTAATAAATATACTTAAACAATTAAGATTCACATTGTTAAACATCCAATCTCACGAACTTAACTTTCCACAATGGCTGTCAGATCTTGGTAAAAAAAAAAAAATGTCAATTTTTGGGTGTTTCTGGTATTTTAAGCCACTAATAACTGTAGTTATTATTAGGGAATAAGTTGTCTTCTCTCTAACAGGTCAAAGAAAGATAATTAACATCATATTTCCAATTAGCAACTATTCTAAATATATTGAGAGATTTTGAATAAAGGAGTATTTCTAACATTTAAAGAGAATGTAATTTTACATACCATTGTGAACAAAGGTGGTAAATGCTGCTTCAAATTATTCTTACATATCTAAATCATATACAAGGGTGTTTATCTTTAAAACAAAACACTAGAAAGATTAACTATGTTACTATTTCATCTATCATTATTATACAAACTATAACAAATGTAAAGATTTTTCCACAGATTTTACCTGTTAACATTTTTAGCACAACATCACCTGATGTCAGTGAGATGTCTATCACTGAGATGTTACAAAGATTCAAATACAGCAAAAAGAGGCGTTCTTGAGAATCCACTTCAATTGCTGTATCAACATAACATTTACTATAATGGGATCCATGTCACTTAAGACAATGTCTTTGAAATTATGTCAATTAATTGATTCCGTAAAAGAATATCGGAGAGTATCCAATCTATACACATTATAAACGGTGTAAAAATGTTTCATGGAAAAAACAAAATAAAAAAAGACAAAGACAAATACCAACGCCATCACCACGGTGATAACAGATGATGCTGATTCAACCAATTCTAGCCAAATATTTGGAAAGCTGGACTCTACAACCAATACTAAACAACTAATACCCGGGTATTCTACAAACACAACCTCCAGCAATGTATCTAAGGAATGTAAACTTCTACAGGCCTTTAAAGACTTTGGATTACAAATACAATTACTACTTTTAACTTTGGATTACAATTCGTATCCGGATCCATCCAAGAATATCTTACTCTGGAACCTGGTGTTCTTTTCAATTCTTTCCCAGACAAAAGCTTTGCTCATTTTAATCAACCACCTTTACAGGCAAAGATCACACTACGGATGTTTTACTGTTACAACAATGATCCATGATGCTGGGAGCACAAAAAACCTTAAGACTATTGGAGAACTTTGGTTCACTAATTTAAGGAAGAAATGCGCTACAATGCCCACAGTTTAATGGAGAGGGTGTTATGGGCAAATGCAAATATTACAAGTTTTAGAATGAAATGTTGTATTTCTTAAACTGTGTACTTTGTCTTTAAGAGATATTGCAAACTGACAAGGTGCTAGAAATAGAACATATTGTTTTTCATAACTGTTTCTTTAAGCAATAACCTCAGTGCATAATATGTTTGCGCCATTTTGTCCCAGGCGAATTACAATAATGCATAAACAAGCTTCAAGGCTATGCTACGACTCTTGCAGTACACAATATACTGTGGTAACCCCAAGTTAGTGGAACTTCCCCAAATCCGGGAATCTCCCACGACTGTACACTTACGACTTAGTATAAACAACAGATAACCTATTCAGACTTTAAGATGCCATCTTGAACTAAGTCAGGAAAATTTCCATGACGTTTGCACCCTTTAGTTATGGTCTTGTATGTTTGCCAAATTAAGGAAGGTCCTAAAATGAATAAAGTAAATGAACTACGGTAACCCTAAAATGGAGACACCTAAGGTATAAATAGGTGTACTTTTAAATGTTAAGACACAGAGGAGAGACTTGGAGACAGACGCTGCTCCATCTTAAAATGACAGAGAGGCTGACATGATGACATGTTCAGAAGGGTATGTTAACCTATTAATGATATTTGCAAGCATGTAATTTAATCTTATAAACTCTGCTATAATGAATTTTATATTTTTATATAATAAATATCCAAAAGACAAAACTATTGCTTCCAAGACAATCCTTATTTTATATTGTATTCTCAAATATTTATATATGTTAAACAGAGGATCTCTTACACTATATAAAATTATGGCTAAGATATCTGTATGGTTAGCCCTACTAAGTTCTATGCTTTAAGACATTATAGTGGTAAATAAGGGAACCACATGCGGTTATAAATAGGTCCACCCCCAATTTGTATTTAGGGCCCCCACCCACCGCTCAGGGGTGGGAGCCAGGGGGGAGGACAATAGGTCCACTCCCAATTTGTATTTACGGCCCCCACCCGCCGCTCAGGGGAGGGGGCCAGGGGGGAGGACAATAGGTCCCCCCAATATGTATTTAGGGCCCCCACCCGCCGCTCAGGGGTGGGGCCAGGGTGGTGGACATTATGTCCCCCCCTTATTCTTGTTTAGGGCCACCACCCACCGCTCAGGGGTGGGGGCCAGGGGGGAAGACATTAGGTCCCCTCCCTTATTCTTGTTAAGGGCCCCAACCCACCGCTCAGGACCTATTGTCCTCCCCCTTTTTTTACTTTAGAGCCCCCACCCGCCGCTCAGGGAGGGGGGACCCTTTTTTTTTTTAACAGCCACAGGCTGCTCAATGTTTATTAGACATGCCCCTACTCGCAGTATAGCGAGTAGGGGCACAATTTACTAATACTAAGTAATTTTTACTTAATATTAGTAAATTTGGCTTAAAGACCAATTTAGGTCTTTCAGCCTTTTGGTAGATAACTCCCTAATACCATGGGAATTAGGGAGTTATCTACCAAGCGGCTGCAAGAAAAGTCCCGAAATGCCGGAGTTCCGAAGTTGCCGAAGTTGCCGAAGTGCCGAAGTTCAAAAGTGTCTAAGATCCAAAGTGCCGAAGTTGAACCATACACCTTGCTGGCCAGCTTGGATGTTGTCGCTCTTTATATGAACATACCCCACCAAATGGGAATAAGAGCCTGCAAACACTTCTTGGAAAATACCTTGTATAATGATCCCCAGAAGAATTTCATTCTTGCTGCTTTAGATTTTATATTGACCCACAATTATTTCACCTTTAATGGCCAGTATTACTTACAAATCTCGGGCACAGCTATGAGGACTGCCTGTGCACCCACATATGCCAACTTATTTCTGGGATGGTGGGAACAGCATGTCGTCACATCAGCCAAATTTGAACATTTTCACGGCTACATTTTGAGCTGGGATAGATACATTGTGTGACGAGACCAATCTCGCCACTGTGCATTGGAGGAGCCTGGTTGCCTGCCTGCTGCCTTTAGACTATGGCCCCATGTTGAAACGCTTGATTTTCCCCTGCAAAGACACAAAAGCTGGGGCTTTCGGTACTTGCCCTATTTGAAAAGTGATACCTCAGCTAGCTATGAAATGGAGCCCATTTGTATAACGAAAGACTATGTGAAAGACTTTGGCTCCATGGCAATTGAACTGTACGTATGACATCTGAGTGTCATTCAGTAATAATGTGCGGTCAGATCTAAGCTATCTGGGGATATGTTGAATGTACCTGTTTTATGCAATAGCTGCACAGTTATATATTTTTATGTATTTTATTGTCTTTTGTTACAATGTGTTCAATGGAATTTTCGCTCTGTCCTTGGAGATAATTGGATTACTTCCCAATTGTCTACAGGATAGAAGACTCTGTGGAACTGGTTTTGGGCAGAAAGGCCATGCTTCATTTGGTCACAAAGGACTTCGATCTATCTTTTGAACCATTAGACCAATTTGGATGATTTTTACATATGTTTGTATTTGGAGTATGCTCATTCTGAAATCAATCAATCTGTAAGTTTTATGTGAATGTGATGTATACTTTTAAAGTTATGAATAATGTGGAAAAACTGTAAATCTCTGCCTGTGATAATTACATTAACCCATTGTGTAAGGTAATTGTATCACAGGCAGAGGGGAAGATTTTGTGTGGGAGTGTCTGAGTGTATTGTACGTGTTTATTGGTTGTTTTACAAAACCCTGTGGGTGGTACTAATGTTTAAGAATGTGTATATAAGAACAATAAACCCACAGCTCTGTCTATTCCTGCTTAACCCTCAAAACGGAGCCTTGTCTCTTTCTTGGGGGGTATTTATTGTATGCTGTTCCAGTTCGACTGCTAGGAGTGTAAACCTATTCGTATGTTTTTTCCTATTCGGCTGTTTACAGCATTCGTATGTTTGAGAGCATTCGTATGCTTCTCCGGTTCGGTAGATTTGTGTCTACTGTAGCTGCCTGTATATCTGGAAGGGAATATCTCCTTAACCCCTATTATGCCTGATAACATGCTGCTTCTTTGGACAGGCTCTATCAAGACCTTTGAGGAATTTGTTATAGCCCTCAATGAAAATGAGATAAATCTAAAACTAACCTATGTGATCGACGAACACAAACTTGTGTTCCTAGATCTCAAAATCTTACTAACACAAGATGGGAGTATCCAAACTGAACTATTCCGGAAATCTACCTCTACCAATAGTCTTCTCCATTGGGGAAGTTATCACCTGTACAAATTAAAAGCATCTATCCCGTTTAGCCAATACTTACGGGAGAGAAGAAATTGTTCCGAAGACCCAACTTTCCACCAAGAATGTCAACTCATAAGGTCAAGATTTAAGGAATTAGGGTACCCTAACCATGTCTTGAAGCAGGCTTTTCAAAGGGCTAATGGAATTGACAGGCACGTTAGTCTTACAACTACCAGGCCAAAACTGGATTCCAAGATCCCAAGGTGCATTGCCACTTTCGATCAAGGCTGGAACACTATGTCCCATATACTTCACAATAACTGGCCAATATTACTACACAACCCATTTCTCAAAAATACCTTACCAGACTGCATGCAGACCTACTAACCTACAGGACTTACTTGTCCACAGTCATCTGACATTACCATCTCCACCGAGCAATTGGTTAACTAGCACAAAAGGAACCTACAGGTGTGGACACTGCAAGGCGTGTGAATACATTACTCCCTCAAAGACTGTTAAATCAACCAGATCTGAAATCAGTGTAGATACTAATGCCTTGGTGAACTGCAGCACTACATGCGTGATTTACCTTATAACATGTAGCTGCGGCATTCAGTATATTGGTAAGATGTTTCAGCAGTTTCGTCTGAGAATTTTACAACATGTCACTTCTATTAATAATACTATTACCCCGACACCCGTGGCTAGACACATCAATAATTTTCATGAAGGCAAATCGGAAAACGTAAGATTCCAGGCAATAGAAAGATTATTGCCTAATCAAAGAAAAGGCAATTTCAACAAGGTTTTGTCGCAAAAGGAATCCAAATTGATTAATTTCTTTAAGACATTGGCTCCATCAGAATTAAATGAAGAATTTAATTATACTTCATTTATACACTAATTTAGGTACTCTATTTTGATTTCAGTTCACACTTTTTTTCATCAGCATATTTGCTGTTTTACTGATATGACGATCTTTGTATTTGACAGAAGTATTAATAAAATTATTGAATCATTGTAAAAAAAAATTTTTCTCCTCCCAGGTTATATATATTAACCACAATGATATGGCCCTCTCAACAGATACTGTTCCCTTATTACATTCTTTACACTAACATTGACATCGGATGGGCTTCTCTATATATATATTTATTAACCTTGATGATACGATTCTCTCAACGGATACTGTTCCCTTATTACATTCTTTATATTAACATTGACATCGGATGGGCTTCTCTATATATTTTTATTAACCGTGATGATACGATTCTCTCAACAGATATTGTTTCCCTATTACATTCCTTACCTCAACATTGACATCGGATGGGCCTCTCCCTCCTATTATGATCTTACTATCTGGTCAGAAACTCACATATAATGAACATCTATTTTGTCATTATTTTGTACATATATATTTTTTATTTTTTATTATTTTTCATTCCTACCTCTGGGTATTATTCCTGTCAATATTTTTGAATTAACATTGCAACTAAGTTCGAGAAACTACTTTACAGCGACACAATATTGCTTTAAGTATCAGTACCAATTCATGAGACAATGTTTATTAAGCACGTTTTAACAAATAACTCTGCAGGGACACAATACTGTCTTTAAGTATCAGTTCATGAGACAATGTTTATATGGGCTCGATTAGTTGATATCTACGAGATTATTGTTAT